CCAAGCCCTCCTGGCCCATTGTCATTTGCAGGGTGGCTGCTGCCTAAGAGATCCTGGCTGGAAGCCTGGTGTGAGGTTCTCATCCATACATACTCTAGTCCAAGGGTCCTCAAACTTTTTAAACAGGGGGTCAGTTCACTGTCCCTCAGACCGTTGGAGGGCTGGACTATAGTTAAAAAAAAAACTATGAACAAATTCCTATGCACACTGCACATATCTTATTTTGAAGTAAAAAAACAAAACGGGAACAAATACAATATTTTTAGTTGCATGTGGCCCGCGGGCCGTAGTTTGAGGACCCCTGCTCTAGTCTACTGGGCAGGAGCATGGCTCCCCCTCTTCCAAGAAATTGTACATGTCTGTCTCCAAAAGTGTCCGTCTTAGAAGCTTTTGCATGGAGGTCACGTCTTGGTCAGTGTGAAAGTGTGGATGATGAATGGGAGTCTGGCGCCAAATACTGTTCCTCCCATTTTTCTTATATGTGAAGGGGGATAAGAGAAGGGAGCTGAAACCCCCCTGGATAACCTACCTTGCATTTCAGTCCTTGGGTTTGAAATGCATTTTACAGTTTGCGTGTGTGTGTGTGTGTGTGTGTGTGTGTGTGTGTGTGTGTGTGTATTTTCAGTAGCCCAAGCAACAATTTCTGCTATAGTTCCAGAATGCCACCTGGGAATAGACAAAGTTGGCCCTGATACCCAGTGCATTTTCTTAAACCTCCACTTAGGACACCGTTACTTGGATTACTTGGTTTGGGCCAGGCACTGTACTGGGGCCTCACTGTCCCCTATCTCATTTCATCCTCCCACGGGCCTACGGGCCTACGTGGTAGGTAGTAATGCCATGTCTGTTTCCCAGGAGAGAATAGAGACACTCGCAAAGGGTAGAGGACAGCCCAAGGTCATCACACTAGGAAGATCAAAGTCAGAGCTGTCACTGCCACAGGCTCTACTTTTAATCCGGTGTTCTCAACTGGGGATGATTTAGCTTGAGGGGACATTTTGGGGGGTGGGGGATGCTACTAGATTCTAGAGGCCGGGGATGCAGCTAGACATCCTGCAATGCACAGCATGATCCTGCAGCAAAGAACCACCCCAGCCCAAAACATCAGTCATGCAGAGGTTGGAAAATGCTGCTTTTCACCTACTGCACATGACTGAGGACCACCTCCCAGAATTCCCCCTGGAGCTAGAGATGAGGGGTGAGTCCTTTCTCCAGCTTGCTTTTGACTCGAAGGGTGGAGTCAGCCTTTAGGCTCTGAATTTACTTCTTCAGTCCTGGGGAAAAAGTAAAGTGTGTTAGAGAAAGATCTTGAGAATGGATGTTTAAAGAAAGGAAAGGAAACTGATTTTTATTGGGCGCACGTGTGCTGGTGCTGGGTTAGACCCCTTTAAACCCATTAGACTACTTATCCTTCAAAGCAGTCCTAGGCTTAAGGGACACCAACGTTTTCCCAGACCCCCCCTTTTAAACGAGGGAAGAAATAAGTTAACATACTCAAAGCCACCTGGCTCAGAATGGAGCCTGAATTCTACCCCAGGCTTCAAAGATCCCAAGTCCCCACCTCGCATCCTAGATGCTTTGCTGTGTTTGTTTGTTTGTTTTTAATTTGTCTTTTGGTAGAAAACAATAAAAGCGATGATGAAGGTAAAGTAGGAAGCTTAAAGAAGGGCATTAAGCGATCCCCCTACTTTTAAATGAAAAACATTGCCTTTCATACCCCATAAAGGAACCACAAGGTACCACAGAAATTCTGTATTAGTAAATGGGAGTGTGGGTGTGTTGGTTATAACAATGCTTTAAAAAAATAAATTTCAAGGCACATTTATTATCCATGATCTCATTTGTTCTCCACAACAGTCCTTGAGGCTGTTGGGGTGCAAATGCCCTTGTTTTACACCTGAGGGACTAGGCCCTGGGGTAGGGGAGGGAGGGAGGGGGTAGGGCTTGGTGAAAGGCCTTCAGCTATGTGAGGCCGGGGCCTTCTGTGCCCTCTCCAGGGGCACTGTCCCTGCAGTGACATGCTGGACTAGAGACACTGACCTCCTTTTCTCACAAGCCTGGGTGAGCTCAAGTGAACTCTGACTCACTAAGGATTAAGTCACATAAACTCTTTTATGAGTAGTAACCATTTACTGCGCCCTGTAAAAAAGGGGCCCTCGCTATTGGCTGCTTT